TGTGATGCATCTAAATTGGGTTTAGGTGGTATGATTATGCAAAATGACAAATTAGTGGCTTATGTGTCGAGGAAATTGAGGATTCATGAACGAAATTACCCTACACATAATTTAGAACTGGTTGCAGTAGTGTTTGTGCTAAAGATTTGAAGGAATTACCTATATGGCTCTAGGTTTGAGGTGTTTAGTGATCACAAGAGTTTGAAGTATCTATTTGACCTTAAGGAACTGAATATGAGGCAATGAAGATTGTTAGAGCTGTTAAAAAGATTATGGCTTTGGTTTGAACTACCATCCAGGTAAAGCTAATGTTATAGCAGATGCCTTGGGTCGGAAATCATTACATATGTATGTTACGATGGTTAGGGAGTTAGAATTGATTGAATAACTCCGAGATATGATGTTAGTCTATGAGTTGACACCATAGAGTGTGATGCTGGGTATGTTGAAGATCAGCAATGATTTTCTGGATAGTATTAGAGTAGCTCAGAAGTTAGATGTAAAGCTGGTAGACGTGATGGTTGGGAGTAATCAATCTAAAGACAATGGTTTTAAAGTCGGTGTGCAAGGTGTGTTGAGATTCTGCGACATAATTTATATTTTGGATGACTCTAAGTTCAAAAAGATGATTCTGGAAGAAAGTCATAGAAGTAGTTTGAGTGTCCATCTGAGAGCTACTAAAATGTACCAAGACTTGAAGAAGTTATTTTGGTGGCCTGGATTGAAACTCGATGTGGCAAAATTTTTGTATGTGTGTTTGACTTTTCAAAAGTCGAAAGTCGAACATCAGAAACCTGCAGGGTTGATGAAACCGTTAGATGTTCCAGAATGGAAGTGGGATAGTATATCAATGGAATTTGTGACAGGATTGTCAAGTACTCCAAGAGGGCATGATACAATTTGGGTGATTGTTGATAGGCTGACGAAATCAGCTCATTTCATTCTGATTAATATCAATTTTCCTGTACAAAAGTTGGCAGAGATTTACATTCGCTTGATTGTGAAACTTAATGGTGTTCCGTCGAGTATTATTTCTGATAGAGATCCAAGGTTTACCTCTAGATTTTGGAATAATTTGCAGGATGCGTTGGACTCTAAGCTGAGATTGAGTTCTGCGTATCATCCACAGACGGATGGACAAACGAAGAGGACTATGTAGTCGTTGGAGGATTTGTTGAGAGCTTGTGTTCTTGAACAAGGACGTACTTGGGATATTTATCTTCCATTGATAGAGTTAAATTATAACAATAGTTTTCATTCTAGTATTGGAATGGTACCTCTCGAGATATTGTATGGTCGAAGGTGTATGACACCTTTGTGTTGGTATGAATCTGGTGAGAGCGTAGTGCTTGGACCTGAGATTGTTCGGAAAACTATGAAAAAAGTGATGTTAATTCAGGATAAGATGAAGACTTCACAAAGTAGAAAAAAAGTTACCATGATAAGAGAAGAAAGGATCTTGAGTTTCAAGAAGGAGACCATGTATTCTTGAGGGTTACTCCGGTAACCGGTGTTGGACGTGCTTTAAAATCGAGAAAACTTACTCCTCGATTTATTAGTCCATATCAAATTTATGACATGGTGGGAACTGTTGCGTATAGAATGGCTTTTCCCTCTAATCTGTTGAATTTTCATGATGTGTTCCACGCATTACAACTCTGAAAGTATATTTCAGATCCATCTCATGTGATTCCAATGGATAATGTACAAGTGCAGGATAATCTTACTATTGAGACCGTACCTGTGAGGATTGAGGATCGTGAAATAAAGAAGCTGAGAGGTAAAGAAATATCTCTAGTGAAGGTTGTTTAGGGAGGAGCTGTTGGAGAGAACGCGACGTGGGAATTGGAAAGTAAGATGTGAGAGTCTTACCCAGAGTTGTTTGTATAAGGTAATTTTCAAGAACGGAAATATTCTAAGTGGGAGAGAGTTATAACACCTCAAATATTATATTATTATTTAAATTGTGTCATTGTGATTTATGTGATTTAATTGATGGTTTGATGGCATGTTGAAGGATAACGTTGGGTTAAATAAGATAATTAGAATTATTGAATATACATGATAATTGTAATTATTTGGATTTATTTTAATAATAAAATAAGGATAATATGAGGTGTAGAAATGTTAAAAGTATTATGGTAATATTGAGTGGATTAAGTAAGGATAAGATGGGAATATCATATTAAGGGTCCAAGGGGTAAAGAGGACTTAAGGTAAAATTTGGAGCGTGAACATGTTATTGGAACGATCGTACTCTGAGAAGAAACATAAGCAGAGAAGTGAGAAAAGCTAGGGCAGAGGAAGCCATTGTTGAAGTTAGGAACCGTCAATCCAAGGTAAGGACGGGGTTCCAACTCTCTAAGGCTTTGTGTAATGATGATTATGTAGGAGTAATTTGTTTATCACCATTGGTAGAGTTTTAGGTTTTTTTGGATTTTTGTGAATGAGTTGATGGGAAGATGATCCGTGTTGAAAATTGTGTTTTATGTTGTGCAAAAAGCTATGATTTAATGCCTAAAACATATATGATGATGTGTTGTTATTATGGTATGATAAAGTATGATTTTTTGGTGAATTGGGAACTGTTATCATGTAAAATTGTAGGCAAATTGGGACTGGTTCAATGCAGGATTATAACAACAAATTTGCTGTCAGGCGAGCTTCGCCGAGCGAGTCACTTACGTCGTCGGCGCGAGAGCATTTGCCTAAGCATCGCCGGACGAGGGAGCGGGCGAAGGACATGGAAGAATGAGGTGCTTCTGGAAAAATGTATGGGAGTGTAAGCCTCGCCTACGCTTCTCCGGGCGAGCATCGGGCGAAGCAAGCTTGTAGTAGGATTTTTTTGAAAACTTCAAAAAATCATAACTTTTGATTCGGGTGTCCGTTTGACGTACCGTTTAAACCATCGAAAATCTAAGAACATTTTCTACCTTATAAAAATAATTTCAATCCCAGTAGGTGATTATTTGTTGGAGACTTATACCTTTCTGTATGTAATTTTGTCTATCGGGTTGAGATATATGTATGTACTTATGTATGATGATGATGTGTGATGTTGTTTGAACTGTATGATTGATATGTCGTATATGTGGGCAGATGGTGACCTTATTGGTGTGTCATATTAATAGATATAGATATACGTGTGTTGTTTTGTTGCATGGTTCTGCGATATCCATTCTCCATTGTGGACTTCAATCGTCTTTGTTGGCCCTGATCCTAGATGGCGCGGATCGGGAGTGATGTTGTTGGCTCTGGTCCTAGATGGCGTAGATCAGGAGCGAGGTGAACCAAATTGTTCACGATATTGGTGGCTCGGGTCCTAGATGACGTGGATTTATGAGTGATATTGGTATCACATGCATTGAGTCTGTGAGTCAATCTTATTGCATTGCATTGTTGATAACATGACGTTTGTATTGCATAATTGGTGTATGTGCTACACGATAATTGTTGATACATGCGATGTATTATGCATGACCGTGTAGTATTATAAGATAAGACTGTGATTATTATGTGAAGGTGTGAGATGTGAAATGCGTGACTATGCATGATTTACTTGCTGTATATTCATTATTATGCATTCTCTTATATTGTTGTGATATCTCACCCTTCTGTTGGAATGATACTTTATACATAATCGTACAGATAGTCAGGAGTAGTCTAAGGCTGCAAGGATCAGAAGATGTTGCTCTTCACTTTATTTTAGAGTCGGCGTCATTGCTCTGATATGTAACACCGGAGGAATGAACGTTGTTTATTTTGTTGTTTTCAGAAATGGTTTGGAGTCTTAGGAACTCCTAGTATTTGATTAAATGTTAATTTAAATTCAATTATGATTCTTTTTCGTTGCATTAATAAAATTTGAAGTTGAAACTATGTTACTTGTTTTGGTACATCAGAAAATCAGTGTTATGTATCATATATTTTTTATGAGCAGGTACTTGTATGTTTTGAATAAATGTGACATCCCGATTTACCTTCAAATTACTCTAATATTTAATTATTATTTACCAGATAGTTTGAGGTGTTACAGTCGTGGCTTACCGTAGACAAATGAGGAATCAGAGTGTCAGGATTAGACATACATAATAGAGTATGCATTGAATTATATTTTGTTTAATTTTAATCAACCTTCAGAACAATTATTGTACTACTACATTCAGTTTTTATAATATTCAGTTTTCATATAGCTTTATCAGTTCTATAATATTCATTTTTATTAATCGTTGAAATATATAATGACAAAGATATTGCCCTAAAAACACATTTTTTTAGTGAACGTGTCATAGTTAACTATTTCTCTTATAATTTCTAAAAAATAATTTTTTTCTCTTATATATATATTTTTATTTTATTTCCACTTTTTAAATATATAATCTCTCAAAAAAGAAAATCATATAATGTCATAGTAAATCACTCTTTTCTTTTGTAAAAACGAAAAAACAAATTCTATTTTCTCTATTATCCACTAAATTCCATAAATATTTGGTGCAATGACAGATTTAAAAGTCACAACATCCTTTAAAGGCAAAGATTCTTTTTTTTTTTTTTAATTTTATTTTTAAAAGTGTTTAATTTTCCTAATACGAACAAAAAGTAAGACATCCTAAAATTTAATTAATTTTTATCACTTATATACTGATTAAAATAATTAATTATTTGTATATACATTTATTAATTTTATTTAAAAGTTTAAATTTATCTTTAATGTTTCCTTTAATCATATTTATATATTTTTTGTTTTATTTCATTTAATTACATTTTATTTAACTGTATTATAAAATTATTAATTGTGAATGACAAGTTTGGTAAAATATCATTAAATATAGTAAAAATAACTAATTTTTAAATATAAAATTATCTAAACCCAAAAATAAAAAACATAAAATATCAAATAAGACATACTTAAAAAAGAAATTGATTGTATGCAATTCTAATAGATTTCTTTTGTTTAATTGACCAGTTATAATTCACATAATGAATCGATTAATCTGATTATGATTTTGAAGTAAGATTTATTGGTCAAATCTTATTTCCAACAAAATCGAACTCGCGGACAATTCATCTTGTAGAAACTCTTTTCTCATTGAAATTCAAATACTTAATTATTCTAATAGATATTTAATTAACTGTATATTACCTTCTATGATTAATAACTTAAATATTTTTTTTGTAAGTTAAATAAAAATTTATAAATTTAAAAATTTAATAGAAAAAAATACATTTACATCAGTCACATGTATTTCTTTAAATTACAAAAATATTTTAAATTTAACTATATATCATGATATATTAATAGTTTTTTTTAAATTGAATGAAAATATAAAATTAACATATATTATTAATGCATGTCTATTAAACTGATAATCTAAAAATAAAAATTATCAATTTTGTTTACATGTAAGAGAAAAGGATGATAGGGATAAATTACTTTTACACAAAATTTTAAATTTTTAAAAAAATATCTCAAAATGATATATTTTTATTAAATAATTGTGTAAGATTTTTTTATATCGATCAAATCATCAAGTGTATCTCTATTAAATTTCATATACAAATATAAATAATATTTTTTTAAAAATATCATATTTAAATGAAAATAAAAGATATAACAGATAGTATAAAATAATTTTACATGGTTATTCAATAACAACTATATTAAATATTAAATTATATAATTATTTTTAAATAAGTTATAGGACTATATTATTTTTTATAGTGTCAATTTATTATTTTTTAACTCTATTTTTAATACAGGTAATTTTTTATATTTTAATTTATAATAATTTTTTTTTGTTCTAGTAATTACTGGAGGAAAGGGTAGCCGTCCTAGGCGTGAGACACTGAATTGAAAAGCCACCTAAATTCTTTCATCTATTTCACCTAAATTCCCTCTTTTACAATTATCTCATCAAATTTATCATGAAGACGACCTTATAACTATTTTTAATTCCATTTTAAACTTTAAATTTAAATTTAAATTCCCCCTGCATTCTCATTCCCTTTTTATTTTGATTTCCCTATTTCACACGTACAGCAACAATAGAATCAAACTACACAAGAACCACATTGCTCCCAAAATTAGCATATAACCGTCTTTCTCATTACAGAAGAATCTTCCACAGAATAATCGCTTTTTCGTTCTTTTCACGTTTGTTCCACTTTGAGTAAAAAAAATCGATTATCACTTACATTGTTATCATCACTGACTTCAGATTTCTTTGCCAGATCTTGCGGCGTTCAATTAGGGCTATTTCAGGTATGAATAATAATTTGTTAATGTTTGAATCGTTGTGCGATGTTTCCTATGTGATTGGGTATGGAATGTATTGCGGATATTAATATTAATATTGTTATTACTAAGTTGCATATGTGTTATTTGCGGCGATTATTAGGGGAAATGCACATGTTTAATGTTTTTCTTGCTTATTCATTATGTATCATTTTTATAATTGCAACTTGTTTTAAAAAATTGGGTATTGGGGATGTTTTCATTCTGCAATTAGTCAATTTGATTTATTTGATTAAATAATGTTTGAAGTTTCTATAACTCTTGTTAAAGGTTGTAAAATTGATCTGGTTCAAGTTGAGTTTGGAGTGAAGAGATTCGTGTTCGGATATTTTAACTGTAAAAGCAAGTTTGATGTGAAACTTAGTGCAAAATTTTCAACCTAAAGGCTACTTTTTATCACTTCTAGTCAAAACATGGTTTGAAGGAAAATCGATTCTGATATGAAATAGTCAACTTACCAAAACCACGTTTTCCTGGGGAAACGTGATTTCCCCATCCCCTGTCGTTCCTCTAAATGCAGTATGTTTTATTTCTTGGGTTTGACTTGGCAATTGTTAGTATGTTGTATTTCTTGGGTTTGACTTGGCAATTGTTTGTAACCATGTTGAAATTGGAGTGAAATTATGGTGACTCTATAAGCTACTCGTTGAAGCTTCAGTTCTGCTGCCTGGTGAAAGGAATGCACTGTATTTTCAAACACTCTTAGATGGATAAAGGAGGAAAGCATTTAGCTTATTAATTGATACTACATTGATATGATGCGTGGTTTAGATGCAGACTACTAGGACTACTAATTTATACTACCAATGTAGGTCAAATACTATTGAAGAACAGTCAACACACAGGCAACTCAATAAGATTACTAAACAAATATGAGTCGGGAAACACTAAAATTTCTAGTATTGTAAAGCATCCCTTTAAGTTGAAGCTTAATAGGCTCTCTGCATGTCATAGATAAACACACTCAAAGAAGAATCTAAAAATAGTTTGTTTTCTTCGTCATGAATAGATGCTGCAATGGCAACTGAGCAAATGTGACATACTACTAATCACTGAATATTTACGGAAAACAATGCATAAAAATGACTAGGGTCCGTAGTCGGAAGAGTAATTCAGAATGTTGCATGGCCAAGAAAATTCAATATGATGTTGCTGAAGAGACAGTATAAAGGATAGCAGAGGAAATGAGACATCCTAAATGTTGAATAACTTTTGGAGAATCATCAAAATAACATGAATGGGATGGCTTACTTGAAAAAGTGTTCAGTATATTGAATGGCCAATTAGCCAGGAATGAAGAGACATTGTAAGAAAGCAGATGTATCCTGACATCAAGCATTCTTACTGAGACCGAAACATCTATAAATCAACTGAAAAACTTCATTGGAAGCATAGAATATTAAGGAAGACCAAAAATCTTGAAATACTAAATGCAGCTTGAAATTGTGTGCAGTTGGAAAATAATACAGCCTTAACAATGGCAGTTAGAGCCAAACAGAACCAAACAGAGAATATCATAGCCAATAGGAAAGAAACCATGACAATGTAGGAAAGGAACCAAACCATCGATGGACACAAAGCTGGAGCGGGGAAACTACATGTGTGGTGTGTGGACTGGGACGTCGATTTACCAAAGTATTTCACAATGGGCAAGTAGTTTCCCTGTTTCAGGTTTGTATTTGTAGTTAATTCAGGATTATTTTGTAAGGATTTCATCTTATATTTGTTCATTGTATTGTATAGAATAGGACTATCTTATTTTAGGGTCCTTGGTTATGGTGGGTTTATATCTATAGACATACAACAGTTTTTTCGCATAATTATATGATAATTGAGATTTGCTTTTTCTTCATTGAGTTCCTGAATTCCTATAGGAGTACTCTCCCCTAGTCTAGTACTCTAGATTTATTGTTCTACTTCTACATAAGTAAACTCAATGCATAACCTACTTGCCGAACATATATCTTCATTTAATGTGATGGAATCTGGCATGGAATTTTTCTACAAAGTAGTTTTCCTCTTTGCAAACTTAATGCCATCTTGATCTTGAGCTTGGACATAGCCAATTATTGGGAACTATCCCAGTATTCTGTAGTTAGCACTTAGCAGTAGCATAACGGTTTTGGAGTGACCATAGAAATGGTTAAAACTGAATTAACAAAGTTAAGATCAATCCAAACGATGATTGACAACAGACGGTGAAGAGGCAACAGAGGAAATGAGACATCCTATACACGAGGGGCTGAAGTAGTAATAAGGAATTCCAAAGCAGTGATATCTTGAGTTAGGCATTATGTTGAAAGATGCAAGCTCTTTGCAAAATTAGCTAATTAAGCATGCAGTACAACTGTAGAAGTAGTAGAAGCCTGACCCTGTGGGGCTACTAATAGCACTTCTAATATATCAAGTCTTATGTTCTAATGGGGATATTTGGGAAGCACTATTCGAAAATCTAATATTTTTTTCACACTATGGTGTATTTTTCCCCTTTGTTATATAAAACCATTTTCTGGTTCCATTTTAACATGTTTAGTTCTTTGTATTTTTAATAGGGCTTGTTTTCTTGTAACAACCATCTTTTGCGTCTTGTATGGAGGATACATCCCACTTGCTAAATAGTGAAGTATAGCTCCTCTGTATAGTTTATGTTCATACAATCAGAAAAGTGTGGACATGATGGGGACCAGTACTCGCAGGTCTAATATTTTCAACTGACTTTTTGTTGTTTGTTCTTTTAGAAATTTTTGTATGTGCCAATTAATATTTCGTACCTGTGTTTAAATGCAGTTTGTGTCTTGTTTGCTGCAGTTCTACCAATAGAAAACCAAATGAAAGTATGAGGCTTGTTCTGACAACTTTTGCTGGAATACTTTTTGGCTTCTTTATAGGGATATCATATCCAACATTAACTACAAAGGTGCAGACTGGGAACGTCTTCTTTTTGGGCATACCTTATGCTTAAGTGAACTTAAAAGATTCTTTAATGTTGTTGTTGAACTTAATAATGGAACTCTAATGGTGCTTACCAATTTGCAGTTGAATGTCTCATCTAACCTGCTTCCCTCCATTGACGTGTCTTCCATTGAAGACGAATATGAAAGTGGCAATGCTCGGTCTTTTATGAAGAACAATAGCAGCGCCTCATCAAAATATCAGTTATTAAATGACACGTTGAAGGTGCACTTTTGATCCTGTCATGAGATAGAGCTAATATATAGCTATAATGAGAATCAGAAGACCTTTTGCTTCTTTTTGGTGATGGTTTTTGATAGTGCAGAGAAGAGAATAAGAATATCATAGGAAACTGAAATATATAGATTATATTAAAAATCGATTGAAAATCAAGAGACTAAGCTCTCTGATACTTTTTCTCTCCGCCTTACCTCTAAGATACTAACAGAATTCTTGCTATGTTTGTTTATTCTTCTCTCCTCCCCTATATTCCCCTAAATCTAGCTAACGGCCAGCTAGGAAGTTACCTCATTCTCTCTCCTCTTCCCTTTCTTTTTCTTACGCTCACAGGCTCTCCAAATTATGGGCTTGTCATGCTTCATGACCACTAAAACGTCCCCTTCTATCCCTGTCCAACTATTGAGCATCCTATCCACTTTTGAGTATGATTCTGTATTTTATAAAAATGGGAATATGGTCTGTTAATGCCCAAATAATGATTGCTTCATGTTTTCATTTTTGCCTGCAGATTTGGATTCCATCAAATCCAAGAGGTGCAGAAAGATTACCTCCTGCGATAATTGAAGCTGAGTCAGACTTTTATTTGCGCAGATTGTGGGGTCAGCCTAGTGAGGTAACTATCATAAAATGACTTATGTGCTTTGAAGACATATGAAACATATTGCATAGAAAAAATGCTGTTAAATACATAGATTAAAGCCTTGTTATGACAGTTACTAAAACTTGTAAAAGGAGTCTTCCCGATTTTTAAGCATATTCTTTGTTTTCTTTCCTTAAAATACTTGGCTTAAAACCGTAAATCCAATACTGAAACAAGTTGAGAAAGAAAGAATGCAGAAAACTTGTGTGGCTTGCAACATGTGCGCTTTTGTTCAAGCTTGAGTTTATGCTCCTGGTATCAGGCTAATCTTATTCTTGCACTGGAGAGGCCTCAAATTTTATTTTATTGTAGTAGGTTATGTATATACACAACATTTGATTAAGTTACCATTCACAGGATTTAACTTCAAAGCCGAAATACCTCGTGACCTTCACTGTTGGTTATGATCAGAAACATAATATTGATGCAGCTGTGAAAAAGGTCATCTCTCAGTTTCTATCTCTCTCCCATTGCCTAAGCTTGTGTGCATGTCCTTAAACTATATCTGTTACATGGAGCAGTTTTCAGGGAATTTCACAATTCTTCTGTTTCATTATGATGGCCGAACAACTGAATGGGACGAGTTTGAATGGTCAAAGCAGGCTATTCACGTGAGTGTTCGCAAACAGACGAAATGGTACGAGTCCATTGCTTGAACATGAATATGTATGAAGAATTTCGTTGTGACTTCTACCATCAATTTTGTTTGCCTAACTAAAAACAAAACATTTTGCCATTTCATATTTTCAATTATGTCATGATATTAAAAATTTAATTGTTTTCCCTCCTAGGTGGTATGCTAAACGGTTTTTGCATCCTGACATTGTGGCACCATATGACTATATTTTTATGTGGGATGAAGATCTTGGCGTTGAGCATTTTAATGCAGAGGAGTGAGTATTTGATATGATACGATACCATAGAACACATTCAGAATTTAGTTTTGATATTATTGTTTCATATTTTAAACACTATCAACTGATTGTATATTAATTCTTTGTTTAACAATTTTAATTTTTAATTTTAATTGCTGTCATGGTCAAACTTGTTAAATGATTTGTTAATATGTGATTAGATGATAGTGTAGAAAACTTGTTTTATTTTTTAAAGGCAAAATCAAAGTGTAAAGAATTGTTACATTGACAGGGAACCAAAATCAAATCCATGAATAGCTAAGATTTCATTTCTGGTTTTACTCAAAAGGTTTGTTATACTCCTCTAATTTCAATTGCAGATACCTAAGACTGGTGAGGAAGCATGGGTTGGAGATTTCACAGCCTGGTTTGGAACCTAATAATGGGCTGACATGGCAAATGACAAAGAGAAGAGGTGATCGTGAAGTTCACAAGTAAGAATAACAAAAATTCAATCCCCGCTTTCTTCCAGTTCTTGTTATGTAAAATAATGCATTAATTGTTTATTTTTATTTTGAGTAAAACCAGAGATTATTTTTATTTTATGTAAGAATGACAAAAATTCAATCCCCGCTTTCTTCCGGTGCTTGTTATGTAAAAGAATGCCTTAATTGTTTATTTTTATTTTTATTAGAGAAACAGAGGAGAAACCAGGATGGTGCAGTGATCCTCATCTGCCTCCTTGTGCAGCGTAAGTATCAGTTGACGTTATCAATGGATTATCCACCCATACCATGATGCATCTGATTGTGCTATGCATGCAGGTTTGTTGAGATTATGGCTCCAGTGTTTTCACGTGATGCATGGCGCTGTGTGTGGCATATGATTCAGGTTCGAAGTATACTCTTTTTTTTAATCTACATTGTTTAGTTGTTTAATGTTTGTTTTAACATTCAATGGTGTCCTATAACTAATCCTGATTATAACCTTGTGGGTTCTTCAGAATGACTTGGTCCATGGGTGGGGTCTTGACTTTGCTCTTAGAAAATGTGTTGAGGTGAGTCGGTTTCTTAAATTTACTAATTTATCTAATTTATCTAATTTCTATTTGTTCCTAAAAAATCAATTCAAGTACCTTTGCTCTGTTATGCAGCCGGCCCATGATAAGATAGGAGTTGTTGATTCTCAATGGATTATTCATCAAAGTATCCCCTCACTTGGGAATCAGGTAATTTGGTTTCCATGATGATTCTTGCTAATCTTTATAATTTGTACTCATTGCAGTACTAAGATGCTTATTTGTTTTTTTGCGCTTTGGTAGGGAGAATCAACTTCTGGGCAAGCGCCATGGCAGGGGGTATGTTATGCATGTTTCATACATTTCAGCTTAACATCTTAATCTCTCTGGGTTCTTAATCAATTATATCTATCCCCTCGTGATTATTTGCTTGCTTCCACGCCTCTCTTACATAATAGTTGTCTTAATTAACCAATAAACTTATAATGGTTTAAACTATAAAAATATATGCCTTGATGGTTTCATGGTGTTGATGCTAGGTGAGGGAGAGGTGTAGAAAGGAGTGGACAATGTTCCAGAGTCGAATGGCAAGTGCAGAAAACGCATATTACAAGGCCGTGGGAATTGATTTGTTTAATTCAACTAATCCTTAGGGGACGGCGGCAATGACTGAAGAGGACTTGTACACAACCACCACTGCATTGTCTACCAAATTTTACACACAAATATAAATGTTTTCTTACACTCCATTCACAGAGGATTGTGTTTTGGTTAGTGATACTGTAGTAGCTAAGGACAAAACAACTCGATGTAGAATTTCAGAGCCGAGAGAGTTAGAAAATTAAATATAGGTAAACGTGTATCTGATTATAACGTTCTTTTAGAATCTTTTGCGTAGTTGATTTTGAACGGTATATGGATATCAGCCTAACTTCGTCAAACCACTTAAAAAAATAAAGTTCAAAGGATTCACAATTGAGTGGTGGAATGGTTGGTTGTTATGGCCACTAATTCTTTACGATTTTTATCATTATTATTTGTAACTTAGTGTTTAATGACAAGTTAGCCACCAGTTTCCTGAGTAAAGCAAGGAAGTAATATTATTAAAAAACACAAATTTTTTTAAAATTGTATCAAAATAATTTTTCCGATGGAGTAACATCGAAAAACATTGAACAATTTTTCCGATCAAAATAAATTGACTGTGCTCTGGCAAGTGTGAAAAACATCGAACAATTTAAGTAATTGCTTTACCGGCATTGTAAGTAAACAAGCACTCAATAACCGGCATTGCAAGTAGACAAGCACTCAATAAAGTTTTAAAAAATGTCACCTGCACCTGTCAAAAAAAAAAGTCACCTGCATGCCACTAGACTTTTTGTCAAACCTACATTAACAAACAATATTAAAATTAGGTTTAAGCTCTTTTCTCTCTTAGGGGTGCGTTACAGACGTCTAAAAATTTAAAATTGCTCTAAAAATAAAATTTAAAATTGCTCTTCATATATTTTCAAAGATGTATGTTTGGATACACACAAATTTTCGTCTTTCTGATATTTATTTTGTTATTTTGATATCTATTTTTTTATTTTTTAATTACATTTTTTTAAATTAATGTGGAAATTTGGATTTTTTATTTATTTTTTAATTTTTAAATACATTATATTTTTTAAACTTTTTTTAGTACTTTTTTGATATTTTTTAAATTATTTTTATTAATATTTATAAATCAATTTTATTAATATTTATAATTAAAATATTATTTTGGCCTTAAGTCCAATATACTTTCGGGGAGCCCACTACTTTATGTTTTGTAATATATATTGTAAAAGAGTTATATAAAACTCTTTCAATTGCTCAAAATGTTTTGATGTGGGACATCAAAAATACTTGCTCCACAACAATAATAATTTCATCCCTTCAACAATGCATTTCATTACACTTCCTGCATGTACGTTTTTCACTACACTTCATTCCACGTGTTTTCCAAATTTGCCTTGTTTTCCCTTCACATATCATATCATTAGTGGCATATAATTGGTGATGTGATAGGAGGTGTAATTAGATATTTTAAGTAGTAATATAATTATGTTAGTTGTTATTTTTAAATATTGTTGAATTGGTCTTTAATAGAGTTTAAGTCTTATAGTTAATTATCCATTGAGAGTTCTATATGTAGTGTCTATGACACATTAAGAATTAATCAATCAAATGAAAAAATTATTTTATCTTCCTTTATTTTATTTAGTCAGTTTAATGTTCTTCTCCCTTTAGTGTAGAAAATTCTAATTCTTAGCTCTTATAGGAAATTTTTCTATCAATTGGTACTTTCATTCTTGAATTTCAATCCTTCCATCTTACCACTCCATTATAGACACCACTCATTCATTTCCATCTTACCACTCCATCATAGACACCACTCCTACCACACCTTCATTTTCATCTTTCTCATAGAAATTTTTACACCTTATTATTCTAACGCCCATGTTTTATCATCATCCCCAAGTTTATATCTAATCGTACTTGATCAGAGTTGGACCGTCACAGCTGGCTTGAACTGAATTTGAAGAAGGTGGAGGGGAGGGGAGTTACCTGCAAGGCACTCCGATGATAAAGTGAGAGATGGAATGAACAAACGAATTGTATGTAGGTGTGAATGAAATGAATACATGACCCTCTTGAAATAAAAGGTATTTATAGCCTCCAGCGCTGGGGCAAGGTCCCTTTATTGGGCTGACCAAACAGGCCCAACAAAGGGACTGCCAGGTTCCACGTGGAGTAGTAGGGACCTGCACGTGGTCCCCTATTTGGGTGATGCTCTCCGCAGAAATAGGGAGGTGAAGACGCGATCTTCTCGGGACCCCGAGGACTCCGAGATATTCGGAGGTTGAGTTTGCCCTACAAGGAGTATGTTCGAGCAGGGCCTGGATTGAGATGTTCCTCGTCTGCGACGTCCCTTGTCAGGGACTCTCTTCATGGTCACCGGCGGGCACAATTGTGTTGATGACACCCACGATCGAGGCGTGTCGGGGATTCTAACACTCAGCGTGGTATGTTGTAAAGCTTGGATTGAGCTTCGCTGGTAATTGGGTTGCGGGCAGGCCCAGTCCAGAACAAGAGCCCCCCAAGTCGCTGCTTTTGGTACGAGAGTTGTGACTTGACTCAAACTCATTATTCTGCGAGGTTTGCTTGCACGACGCAGGGGCTTCCAACCTGGGAGAATAGGCATCGCCCGATTTGTGATTTTCCCCGTGCAGCGATCGAGGATCATTCGAGGAATTTTTGTGGGGAGGCGGTGATGCATCAGTTAGACACGTGGTGCGGCTCTTGGGAACCACAATGCCGACCTAGGGAGTAGGGCCATCATTGTCTATGTAAGTAGGCGACGAGGACGGGTGCGGTTCGTGGTTTCCTGATGCGACGTTTCATATTCCACGTCATCTCTATAAATAGGGCTCCAGGGCCCATAGTCTGTTTTACCTCTTTACGCTTCTCACACTTTCTCTGTTTTCACTTTCGTAAGTTTTCATAACGTTACTGAGACTGCCGCGCCGCTCGCCGTCTGATTACTTCCACCACCGTCGCTCTTCAAATTTTCTTCCAAGTAAGTGTCCTTTCTCTTTGATTTCTCGTGTTGTAGATAGTTTTGACGATGTTTTAGTAGTAGAAACTTGTGCCTAGGGGTTATGCCCAATATATTTAAGCGCGCTAGGCGCCTGATTCATGGTTGTGCCCGGGATATTCATAAATTTAGGCATATGGTTCCTGATCGTGCCCGTGACATTCATGCGTTTTGGCTGGTAGGTTCATGAACTTGGTCGGGAGATTCATCCTTTCGTTAGTATTTAGGCTAGTTTCCCCGTAATATTCTTGTACCGGGCCAACAAAATTTTGAACTTGGTCTCGGGATTCATGCTTCGCCCGGGGCACTCATGTTGTACTTGTGTCGTTCATGACTGATGTACGTCTGTCGCTGGGGGGTCGCTGTTTGGTTGAGATCCACTTGTTTTCCGTCTCTCGTGCAAATGGCTGTAGGCTCAATCTGAGTATTGTTTACTTCTCCCCGTCTTCGTGGCGGGCAAGCGGATTTGCTGTTGAATTCACCAGTTTCCTATACTTCGCAGGTAAATGGCCGACATATCAGAGTTCTCGGGGCGTGATGACGTCGAGGAGACAAGTACATCGGAAGAAACTATTACATTGGTCGACACCGTAGACGATCCCACGTTGGATTGGGTTGGTGCTGAGCCCTGGGGAATAACTTCGGTCTACAACCTTCGTAGTAGACAAGCTTATACCGTCGTCGAGTATGGCGGTGGTCAAGAAGGATTTCAAAGGAACTTTAAGATAATGAGGCCATCGAGGGATGCTCGCATCTGTTCGGAGTTCACGCAAGACGCATTCCCTATGTACGAGATCATCTTCAGAGATCTCAGGCTTCGGTTGCCCTTCAACGACTTCCAGATCGGGGTATTCAACCATCTGAGCCTGGCCCCCTCTCAACTCCACCCTAATACGATTGCCTTTCTCCGAGCATTCGAGCTCACTTGTTGCTTCCTAAGGATTGGGGCGACGATTTCCCTGTTCTTCAGGGTTTTCCACTTACAACGGCAGTCCCGAGGAGGGAAACACAGTTGGGTGTCCCTTAAGCAGACGAAGAGACTGTTTAGGATGTACATGGACTCCGTGCGAGATTTTAAAGACAAGTGGTATATATTGCAGCCGTCCACCCAGACGGCCTTAGATTCGTTGTTCGAACTGGCCACTGTGGTAGAGGATGGGGAGCCATGTTTGGACGCTGAGGGTAATCCCGAGGTCGGGCGAATCTCCAGATTTCCCATTTATTAGTGCTCAGATCATTATGACCATGGTCTTGGGCACTATCATAATCATGCTGGGGGTATGAGTGATGAGGACGAGGAAGCTTATGATGTCCTGAACAAGTTTGTTGATGGCTTCTTTCCTGCTCGGTGGGTCACTAGGGAAGGGGACGACATTCTTGACGAGGACGGCTATCCGACATTCGAGGCGCGTCCAATTAATACCAATGCGTTTGTCGAGTGCCAATCTTACGGGAAGGCCGTAGATCTCTTAGGTTTCTTGCTTTTCTCTTATTGTTATTCCTTTTTAACTGCTTCTAATGTACGTAGCTAACCCCGATTCGCTTCCCTTGTAGGTCACATGGCGGAGCGTCGTGAAAGATTGCTGAAGTTAACCCAGGACAAGAGAATCAATAAAATATTGGTGAGGCCGCAACAGGCCACGCGGATGGGCTCGCCTGCTGATTCGGGCAGGGAAGGATCCAGTGGGTCCTCGGGTTCTCCTGACACCGAATGCCAAACTGTGTTGGTCACCAGGAAGCGGAGTCGACCAGATGATGGGGCGGAAGTGACTGATGGAGGTGCCTCTGCCCGGGATTTCGGCCTACCACCATGCTTCGTGGAGAAAGACTTCTTTGAGGGGTTTCCCCTGACTGTGTCTGACAATGAGGCCGACATCATCAGGCGGCTTGACAAGGAAGGTCAGAGGAAACACCTTGCTGCTAGTATGGTTGGTGTGGTAAAGATGACCGAGACGGCGGTGGTCCTCGCGGGGGAAGGATCAGATTCCACGGACCGTGTTCGAGAGCTGGAGTCAGAGAAGGCGGCTCTTG